TGACGAGGGGCTGGTACAGCCTTGCTCTCGCACCACTGCTGTAGTGCAATCTTACCCTTGGTTGGTGTTCCCCCGGGTTGGTTGGTGTTCCCCCGGGTTGGTTGGTGTTCCCCCGTACTATGCATAGACTAGCGAGAGAACGATGTTCTCGAAAAAATAACAGATGCTTAAAAAAAAAAAAACAGATGCTGGCAAGATACACGTGTTACTATAAATAGTAGCGGATCTATTTTTCTATTTTGGCCACCTGCTGTGCGGAAGACGGACTCGCACTTTTTTTTTTCGTTTCGTGAGTAGTGTGTCTCGAGCGCCGTTCTTCTTCTTTTTTTCATTACCGTTGCGGGCGGGATTCGCTCCTCACTTCTCTGCTTGACTAAAGTACGACAAAAACCGATTAGGGTTCAGGGCTTAGGAATCTTGCACAAGCCTTCGACGTTCGCTGGCGGGATTTGCTCAATGAACTAACGAATGGAACGTAATACTTAAAAAAAAAAAAAAAGGAACGTAATACTATGTAAGAAAGCATAATGGGATCGGCTGAAAGTCCCCACAGAATAGGATAGATCGCGGAACAGAATAGTAAAACATAGACAGGAATCAAGGGAACATCACAATAATGCATAATGCCAAGGGGGCGGATCTCCATCTCCCAAGGATGACCGCCGATCTCCATCTCCGAAAGATGACCGGTCACTTGGCCGTCGGGGGAGATAAAGGGGAACGGCAAAACCCTGTCACAATGCGCCACTAGCGAATCTCTCTCTCTCTCTCTCTCTCTCTCTCTCTCTCTCTCTCTCTCTCTCTCTCTCTCTCTCTCTCTCTCTCTCTCTCTCCTCCCCCCCGGAGATGGCACTGACATAGCTTCAGATATTTAGTATTTATTATATAATTTATATATTTATATAGGTAGCCTCCGCACCCCAATTACGCAGCAGACAGGATGGTTGCCTGCTTTTTCCTAATCCTACGGAATTTTCTGACTTCGTTTCTTTCTTTCTTTTCCCAAAATATGTGCACCCTTTTATTGTCACGAAAATATCAGAGCGCAAATGCGGAAAAAAAGAAAAAAAGAAGAAAAGAAAACCAGAGAAAATTGAATTCATTTTTTTATCTTCTTCCTTATAACTCCCCCTGTTCAGAACCTCTTGCGTACGTGCACCCCGTTTCTCGATTCGTGCGTGTCGTCCTTGCGCAGGGGCCATCCTAATTAGTGTTTTCTGTACACGCATTTTTAAGAACCTGGTCACCGTTTGAGCTGGATTCTTCCTGGCCTCGCACAAGTTTACCCACCATGGACTAACCCATGGTACAGCAACGGAGTACCACGAGGTCCCATTTTAGATATCAGTGGTTCGTACGTAGAGGATTGATTCGCACAGGGGTGCAAAAGAACCGTCTGTCAACCGTTCAAACGTTGTCCGCCGAGGTTCCAACCCCACCCTGTCGATGATCAGGGGTTCAAACCCTGTCAATCAAGGGTTCAAACCCTGTCGATGATCAGGGGTTCAAACGCTGTCAATCAACGGTTCAAACCCTGTCAATCAAGGGTTCAAAACCTGTCAATCAAGGGTTCAAACCCTGTCAATCAAGGGCTCAAAACTAGTGCGGTGTTCAGAGCCTTTCTTTATTCACAAAGCCCTTTTGTGACAGCGGTTCAAACCCTCTCTGTCACGGGTGCATACCCAGCGGCACGGGGCCCTGCAGTACCACAATATTTTATTTTTTTTTACTTTTTTGCTCATATCTTATTCCATATCAGAGTTCTTTCCGTTTCTTTCATAGGATTTTTTTATTTTTATTTTTTTTCTTTCTCTTTTTTTCAAATGCAAGGCTCCTTCTATGCTGGGGAGCAACAGTCCGATTTCTTTATTGGTTCAGTTTCCGTTTTCTTGCGAAATTCACCAATGAGGAATGGCGGCATTATGTGCAAAAAATGCACATAACTGGTTATTCTGGGGATCGAAAGTCCAATTTCTTTCATTCTCTCTCTCTCTCTCTCGCGCGCGCGCGCGCGGGCGCGAATGCACATCGAGCTCGCCTGCATTGACCACGCACATATGTGGAGAAATATAAACCCTACAATATGCGGTTCGCACACGATGTGCATGGCCACATATTGGAACCCGACAGCATGCCCACGTGCATTGCCACTCTCTTTCTTTCATTCCTACCGGTAGCGTATTTGACAAGCAGATCCGGGCCGTGACCGGCCTTTCGTCGTCGTCGTTGCTGTACCCTTGGTGGTTTCCATAATCCACTACTACCGTCTTCACCCGAATAGAAAGCCCAGTCATTGTAGCCGTATTTGGGGCAACTTTCAGACCAGATGCGGCTATAATGACCTGGCGTTCTATTCGGGTGAAGACGGTAATGCCGTAAGCCTCACACATGATACATTTCGCGGATCAATTACTGTCCCTCAAGGAGACCATTGAAAGTCATATGACAGATTTCAGCAGCAAGATTTCAGCAGCAAAAATACAAGGCTCCCCATATGTGTTGGCACGCAAAATACCTACTTTCTTTTTTTGTTTTCTTTTTTTTTTTTAAATACCTACTACTCAAAGAGGGGAAGAAGGAAAACAAATCTGTGTATCGAGCAGAAGTGCAAGGCTCACCACATATGTGTATGAAGCAGACGTGCGCACACATTTGGACTCCAACTGGCACAGAATAGGAAAGATAGATTCTCTCATCGATTCGCTTACCCACGCACACACCAGCTTCAGACGAAAGGATCATCACTCTGCCATCAGTACCGACTCCAGAGCTTGTATCACACCGAAATCCACAGCTTGTAAGCGTAGTTGGTACATCTACATTTTATAGTAGACATAACTAAAACGACGTCACAAAAAAAAACAAGAGAGAGAGAGAGAGAGAGAGAAACGATCTGGGAATGCCCGGGCGATTTCGTTATTTTGCTACGCAATCTGCATCCCGTCTGCGTGGTGCACCGAGCAGACGATATCAAACAATCTCTCTCTCTCTCTCTCTCTCTCTCTCTCTCTCTCTCTCTCTCTCTCTCTCT